CTAAGTATACATGTTTCCGATTTTTACTGGTTTGGGTAGAAAATTTTTAATGTGAGCTTTATAATTTTTTAAGTTTCCAGCTGGTTGTCTATATATAGAGTTTACGAAAATGTTTTTGTCCTTTTTATTTATTATTTCAACGCAAAACGACTCACAATCTGTTTCATTCACGCAAAGATCATTACGGTGAATAAAATTTAATGAGTTGTGAATAAAAATTCTCACCCCACCACCAGCATGTTTATGACGCGATTGATGAACTGATGCGTAATTAGCTAATTCAAAACGTGCGTATTTTTCATTGTTTTTAAGCCACGTTTCTGTAAGGCAGATAATTTTAAAATCGTGTTTGAGGTTATGCAATAAAATTTTAAAGTTTTCAAAGTTTTTACTCATACTCCGAATGTTCAGAGTTAAAATTGAGAAAGCATTATTGTTCTGAGAAAGAAAATGAGTAGATTCAGAAATTGAAAAATACTCAGTTTCAAAGCTTTTTTCACAAAAAAATTTTTTATTATCATTATCACTAAGCTTTAGATCTTCGAAGTTAAATTTTGTAGAAAAGTTATCCTCCATTTTAAAAACTTAAAATTTTAAATAAAATAAAGAAAGAATAAGGTAATATATATACATGAATAAAAAAGAGTTAAAATATAACGAACCTAATTCTTTTTTCGATTGGAAGCCCAATCACGTATGATCAACCTATCGTACGATATAAAAGCCTATTTCCCTGCTGCTCGTTCTACTTTCATCTTTTCTTTTATAGCTCTTCTTATTTGTGTGGTCTCCGGACAAAAGTCTTCATTGATGAAAATATTTTTTCCTTTTAGATGAAAAGATTTTTTAAGAATTTCTGTTTTATCTTTGAAATCCAAGAGTTTTAGCACGATCGTTCTTGGCTTTTTTGCATCTTTCTTGCCAGTTCTGTGAGCTCGTTCTATTTTAACATTTTTTACATCTAGATAATCTTCAAATAATTTTTTTACCTTTGATTCGGTCTCTTCCCAGCTTTCGTTTTCATTCTCTTTTACACCGTCTACTCTTAAGTTATTTCGCCTCGAACGATCTTCCGTTTCCCTTAACTTGTTTTTTATATTAAGGAATTCCGAGTTTACTTTAGTTATTTCACTATTAGATGGATTTATCTTTTCCTGATAACTAATTGCAGTTTTTATTTTATCATCAATAAGCTGTTCATGAAAATTTAAGCTTAATTTCATTTCTTCAACATCCTTTATTATTGACTTAACTCGTTTGGCATTGTCGTTTATATTTTTTTCAACTTTATCTAAGCGGTCATGAACTATTTTTGCGATTGAACTTACAATGGTTATAATGTTTTTTCTTGTTGTTTTAAGATTTCTTCAAATTGTTTTTTGCAATCACTAAACATCTCCTTCAATATATTTTTAATGTCATCTCGAGTAACTGCCATAATTAAATTTATATGATTGATGAAATCTTGATTCAATTATTTCGATAGATAGAATCTTATTACACAGTTACTAAAATGTATCAGTTTGTATTTTTTCTGTAGTTTTATTATTAAACTATTATTTAAAGATATTTTTTTAATAACAACTTTAGATTAAAACAAATTCTACGCAATAAAAAAAAACACGTCCGTTCACTTCAGAAGGTGAGCAACCACTCAATTAGAACACTATTAGAAATCCATACCTGAGAACCTTGTGAAGTGTGGGTAGCATTATGTACCAAGGATAGGTTTCCAGTGTTAGCTCTAAAGTATCAAAGCAGTATGGTTTAGATGCATCCAAATTTAGATGGAATCCACTGTATTCAATGTTTTTCTAAGCCAATGGTGCGAGCTAATTCCTGTTATTTCAGAAAAAGATTCTGTTGCGAGAAATGCTCTTCTTGCACTATTTCCTATATTGGTATTCCCAAACACTTGCCTAGTAATATCAACCACTATGCTTAACTCCTCTCTAAATTTTCTCTTGATTTCCTATTTTTTTAAGCTTTTACAGACAGACGTTAACTTCTGGAGACCGGGACTGGTATCTTATAGTATTTTTTTTATATTCCAAGTTTATAATTTATCTTCAAAAATTTGTAATCAACAATAAAGAGTGGATAGTCCTTAAGCTAGAGTTTTCTCATTGTATTCTTTTTCTCTAATTATATTCAGGTTGTTCATTTCATTATGATTTGCAAAACAAATATTGCAATTTCGTATTGAGTTTGTGTCTGGTATAGCATTGCCTTGCCGTCCAACATGGTCATATCAATTTTTATTTCTATCATTGCTTCCTGGTTAGAAAAGGAGATTTCAAGTTCAAAATCTTGAAGATAAAAAATATTCTATTTAACATCTAATTCTTCTGCTCTCATTGACTTCTTTGTTTCTTTTTGGTATTGCAGGTGAAGAGGTTTACAAAAATGGTGGCTTGAAGGTTTTGAGTTAGACTATACAGTGGTGTTCCCTAATCCCACTTTTAATGGAACAATTGCAGCTTGGAACAAGGATTGTTCATTTTAAACTCCAGTTTTCATAAAACCTTTGATTGTATACACTTTGATATGCTGCCTCACTAATTTTAGCTTACAGATTTAATTCAGAAGAATTTTCCAGTTGTTTTAAATCCATAGAGAAATTCTGTTTAAGATATGCTTATAATCCTTAATAAAATATGGTTCACCATTGATTAAACAGAACACTTGGCAGATTTCAGTTTCTGAAATTTCTAAATTTTCTAGATAACATATGGATTTTGTATCAGAAATAAATTTGACTGAAAGGTATATCTCGACATTTTATTTCAGTAAAGAGCTTTTAAGCACTAAATATTTTGAATCACTGAGATCACTTTATCTTTATTGCAAGAGCCTCTCTGTTTTCATTATTACTGAATTAGGCTTTGTAATTTTTATACTTTTCCTGGGTAGAGTTGGATTTTTACTAGATTGTTTAGTAACATTTGAAAAGTCTGAAGCAACACAGGTAGGTTCTTGTGTACAATAATCACCTATTAAACTAAAAAGTATAATAACTTTGAAGAATTTCTTTTTAATTTTCTAATTATTTTAAGAAAAAACTAACACTTTTATTGAAATTAGCTCTATCCGAGCTCATTTAGCTCTATCCAAGCTATCAGTCCATAGTGTAGCAGATCTTCCTGGTCTTGATGTAGGAGGAGCAGGTTTTCCATACAGTTCTAACACCAGTCAATCTTTGTCACGTTCCTTAATTCGTGAATAGGTTCTTCTGTTTTTGTTATAATTGATCTTTAGCTTGGCAACAAATGTTTTAATCTTCCCTTTTAAATCGTTCAAAAGATTAGGTTACACAATTTGGAGTTTTAAATACCAACCTCCTTGATTTTATTTAAAACATCAACCCTCCTCATGTTTACAAAGACTAAAAAAATACTGATGAAATACTATACATATGCAGAGTCGTAGCCTCTGTTTTCACATATTTAACATAGGTTTTTACGAGGCATCATGTGAACTTCAAACATTTTCATTTTAATAATAATGTCAAATGAGAATGTGTTAGAAAAATTATGGTAATTGGAGCTTGGGAACAAGAAAAAGCCATATTAAAGCCCCCACTCCCAACCCTTTGGGAAGGAGGGATAGCATTTTAAACATAATTTTTTTAAGATTTTAAGTTTATCAACAGAATTCGAATTTCATAATAAAGTCCTTTGGCGTTCCCATAAATCCATTTTGGGCAATTTGAGGCAGCTCAATATTTTTTGGTTAACCATAACAACATTCCCAAGAATAAAAAATCCATTTTTGTGTGGAACTTTGTGGGACTTTTATATTTTTAAAAAACATATACATCGAAAAATTTATACTTTCACTTAATATTTAATTTCTCATTGAGCAAAGTCTATTTTTATATTTAAAATTCAAAATTTAAGGCTGTTTGCTTTTGAAACAGATAAAAGAATGTCTAATCAAAGTTTTATGATAAAAATATTGAATAAATCATCTTATTAAATTAAAAAAAAAATTGCAAAATTAAACAGTATAATATATAAGTGATTTTTAGAGCAATTTATCTACCTTCTAGAATGCTTTGTAGAATACTAGACCAAAAGAAAAAAAAAACAATTTGTTTTTTCTCATCATTTGATATATTTGCTAATAAATTGTAACAAAAGACTGATAAGAATAGTGCATTTAACAAAATCCACTTTCGGCCGCATTTTGAGCTTTTCGCTTCATCGTGCGCAGTTAATATAATTGCATGTTTTACTGATTTTACAAATTTGATTATGTTAGGTAAATTATTATGATTTAACTTACCCCAGGCAGTTTGACAAAAAATACCCCGAAGGCATCATGATCACTTTAATCGATCTATATAGTTATTTTCATTAAATAAATCTACTTTTTTTTTAGCTTTTGTATTTAAAAAAGATTTTTGCTAATCATTATTTTATTATGGTTACACTAGAACCAAAAAAAAACTTTAAAAATAAAGAATTAAATTTTATATGTATTAAAATAAAAATCAATAGCTTTTGATATTTTTAATTTATTTCTTATAGATGACGTGTTTTTATAGGTGACGTGTTTTATAAATATAGTTATATACTCTCAAAAAATTTAGAAATAATATATTAAAACCATTCTTTAAAACGCATTGTTGCAACTTACCCCTGTTCCAGCTAGCCACGGTCTCCCTATTTTATAACTACATATGTAACCAGTGGTGGATTAACCATAGTTAAAGCTTGCACCTTAGTAAGAGGCTTGGTACAAACGCGGACACGAACCGAACATTAGTGATAAAATAAATTGTTTCCAAGTTTTTAAAAAACTAAATAGTTAATACGATCTTTTTTTATGCTCCAGCCATTATTTTTTTATATTTGTGCATTGTATTTATTCTTTAACGGCGAAATACTAAATAACTAAACAAACAAACTACTAAACTAAAAAAAAATTTTCAACAGAGTTAAAATTATTTATTTGTTATTTAAAAAAAAATAAGTTTACAAGATCTAAATGTTACTTTATAATTTTTAATTTATTAAATGTGAAGAAAAAGGATGTAAACTTTACTGAGGTTCAAACATAACAAAGTCACAAACACGAGCGTCTGTTTGATAAAACACATAGAAAATCAATGCATTAAAATGCCTTTGTTTTAAAAAATAGTTTCTGAATGAGCCGTTTTGTTATACATTACAACGTTACGTACTACGTCAATAGTAGGGCCGTCTTTTTGGACAACTTTCTCAACATAAGTGTGTAAGACCTTGTCGGCAGAACTGTTATAAAAAAAATTTACGCTCTTTATCCTCGGGTTACGCCAAATACGTTTTGTTTTTTTACCATACAAGATAATGAGAAGAGAAAAGCACGAAAGTATGTTAATGGATAAAAATGCCAATGTTGCTATATGTGGGTCAACACTAAAATAAATAGGAAAATATGAAAACCATAGAATACAAACAGTAAACATTGCGTATACAATAATTTGAGTTTCTTTATAATTTTCAGGCAGTTTGCGTGCCCTGAAGGCCATGCACCAACTTGCAATAGCTAATACAAAACAATATGACAACGAAATCCAAACAACCATTTTTTCATTATCACAAACATAATGAAACATATTTTTCAAAGAGTTAGGAACAATCTGGACGTTAGTGGGATTATATATATTCCAAACTATAATAACTAGTGCTTGCAATGAAACAATTGAGAAAGTCAAAGTGATTTGAAATTTGTTATCCAAAAACTGTGAGGCTTTTTTAAATCTCGAGTTAAAAATCCGAAGCAATCGGTATGTTTTTATCGTAACAACAGATAAAACAGTAGCGAGCAAAATGCCGAACAATGATGTTCTTAAAACACAAAAACTTGGAGTGGGTTTCCAAAAATATATAAATGAAATGCAAAACAAGAGTTGTAGAGAAAATACTTGAATACAAGACATTTCTTTATTAGAACTTCTTATAATTGGATTGTTCCGATATTTAAAAATCAAAATCAATACAACACTTGTGCAAAATACACCTAATGATGATCCAAAAATAATAATTATACCAGAGGTACTAAAAACGTTCAGGTTGATTTCCGACATTTTGTTGCATTGTGTCTGATCTGAGTTTTCCAAAGACATTAGCGAGCACTTTGTACATGAGTATTGGTTCACAGAGCTTGAAATTGAGCCATAAGGACATTTTACACAAATCCAGCAACATTTTGATAACGTTGAATTGACTCTGTATGTACCTGGGTTGCAATTTAAGCTGCAAACGGATTTCGGTTTTATGTTGTTTTTCCAAACAATGATGTCTTCATTTATTAGTACATTGTTTGGATTATATTCCCAGGTCCCAAAATTAATTAAATCTTTTTGATCAACAAACATGTACTGGTACGCAGGATATAAAAACTCTCCGTTTTTATCAAACTTTACTGAATAGTTACTGTTTGGAACAATAAACTGTGTATTGATAATGTGTTTGTATAGCAACTCATAATCTAATAAACCAGAACTTGTAAAGCATTTTTCAAATGAGCAATTCAAGTAATTATGCAAACCATATGCAAGAGCGTAGACAGCACTATACACTTGACTTATGTAGCCTTTAGGTAAAGCAGCGGCTAAACTTGTAATACACACAGAGTCGTTTGCTGCATATTTTCTCAAAAGTTCTTTAAACCAAGGATTTTCACAATTTATTTGACTTTTTTCATTTGCTGAGAAGTTGTCTTTATTTAGAGCAGTTATGGAATAATCCTTGAGTTGTAAAAAAATTATATTGTGGGTATTATTTTTGTCATGAAATTGTTGCACTACTAATATCCATGACTCAGTTCCTAATAAAAAGAAAAAATTTCTTTTATAGCTAATAGCTATAATATTATATATGTATATATATATATATATATATATATATATATATATATATATATATATATATATATATATATATATATATATATATATATATATATATATATATATATATATGCAAGGATAAAATCTTTATTAAGTATATTTATTTAAAAATATTAATAAATATTATTAAATAAATATACTTAATAATGTTGCTATATTTTATTTAATAAAAAAACTTGTTTTAAAATCTTTGTCAAAAAAATTGTATATAATTTAAAAAACAAACTTAAATGAATTTTATTAAATATAAATCGATATTAACAATAGCGATGAATCCGACATTTCCATCTGGTATTACAAATTGGTTTCGCAGTAAGTTCTTTCGCATATTTGAAAAGCACTAACCATTTATATTTAGTTGCCGAATTTGAAATATACAGTTCTTGAAAAATACTAAAAAAGTAGCTTCTAGGCAAATAGTGGCTATATCTTCCAATAGGGGATTGTAAGTAGAACCATTGCCATAGTCTCGTCCTCGGATATCATTAATGTTCAGTCCTAAATATTTAATTTCTTACTTTAAAACGAAAAATAGGTTTTCTCTTGTACTGTTCTCCTCATGTACAAATATAATAAAATGTTTATATACATTAGCACTTAAACCTGATAATGTACCATCTGAAACATATCTGAGGATGAAAAAAAATTGTTCTTTATGACTTATTTCTGGAGTACTGTCAAAAAGTCAAAAATTACAGTAAAAAACTTTCCATATTTTACCCGCTCCATAATTTTTTTTTTTTACTTTATTGCTTATCAAATTAATAATTTAATTTCAGATTATTTAACTTAGATAATGTTCATTAGTTGTTCATTCAGTATATTATCTGCTTTGGGGTATGGTTGAAAAGAGCCATCGTTAAGGTTTAGCGTTAAATCGAGATTTAACGCTAAACCTTAACGATGGCTCTTTTCAGAGCCATCGTTAGATTGCTCTGAAAAGAGCTATCGTTAAGGTTTAGCGTTGATTAGAGAGAGTTAACTATTTTTAAATTACATTTAATAGAGATTAGAAGGTTGTTGTTTTTAAAAATTTGTACAAAATGTTTTTTTATCCTTTCCATTTCTTTACCACTTTTGTTCCTAAACATAGTTAATCCATCATCTCGATTTATACCAAAATTGCTTTTATCATAAAACTGCAAGTTTTGATGCAAAATAAAAATCCCAACTAATTTGCAAATCTCTGCGCCACCAAAGGTCCCCATAGTGACATCGAATAATCCTCCCTTTTTTATAATCCAAGCAGTTTCACTGCTTACATTTACAGTAGGATTTACCTTATTTACCTATAGATTAAGGGGCTCGCTGATCAGAAAAATTATGTTTTTTTCTTGCCCCTGTAATTTTTACTTATATATGTTTAATGACATGAATAAAATTATTCAGAAAAAAAAATTCTTGTTAGTTTTTACTTTTATATTGAATTTTAATAAACCTGTTTTTATTTTTTTTTGCAAAATGTAATAAAATAATTAGCTTTGGT